CGTGTAGACTGCTTGAGCTGTTACATAATGGTACCAGATCTAGACATCGGGTAGTGTGCCAGCGAGGACGTTGGACCCGAAGGGGCTAGATTGTGAGATCCCACATTGATTAGAGAGCAGAACGAGTGCCAGCGAGGACGCTGAGTCCCGAAGGGAGGTGATTGTGAGATCCCACAGGAGGACGAGGGCTAGAAAAGACACTGGGCCCCAAAGGGAGGTAGATTGTGAGTTCCCACGTCGATTGGAAAGGAGAACGAGTGTCAACAAGAACGCTGAACTCCGAAGGGGGTAGATTGGGAGATCCCACATCGATTAGGGAGAAGTACGAAGCATTCTTTATAAGGGTGTGGAAACTTCTCCATAGCAGGCGCGTTTTAAAAACATTGAAGAAAGGCTCAAGAAGAACAATATCAGCCAACCGTGGGTTTATGTTATTACAGAAATTCATATATAAATATTTTTTATTATCAAAATGCATAATTCAGTTGGTTATGTTGTAGCATATTCCTTCGATGAATAGATCGAAAGTTCTAACTTTCAATCCATCGAATGTTGTATTGAATTAGAAAAAAATATCTTTGTAAATATGAACATAGTGTCGTAGTTATAATACGTTAATACTCGAAACTCGTTTGATTGTCGATACCTAATCTTTAAAAAAAAAAATTAAAAAGAATGAAGTTATAATTTGATCCCTCACCAATTGTCCTTTGATTGCTTAACAAATAAAGCAAAAGAGTTGGTTTTGTATTAAATGCAAGCATGTGCAACTCAATCCCTTCTTTTCATCCTTCCCCTTCGTATCTCCCTTTCCTTCACAATAAAACACCTTCTTTTCCCTTCACTTATAAGCAAAATTTCTTACCCCAATTCCTTCCTATTATAAAATTCATATCTCACACCCCGAATTGATGTATACGGTTTACGATAATAAATATTCAAATTTTATATCCCACGGGTGACTTGAACTAGGATCAAGAATCTATCAGCACATTAGGTATCTGCAACCCAGTTTTGTCCACAACCCAAAGTCACTGGCCCAACTCAGTGAGTCCTCAAATATCGAACAATAGTATTGTGAGTCTGGAATGAATAGTAAAAAATGACTAATACTCCAAAAGAAAAGGAGTCGAGCCTCGATTAAGGGGAGGCGTATTTTGTTCGAGGGGAGGTGTATCGACTAATTTAGGGAATGATCATGGCTTTACAATCAAATAATATTATCTCCATTGGTATAAGGCCTTTTGGGAAGCCTAAAGCAAAGCCATGAGAGCTTATTCTCAAAGTGAACAATATCATACTATTGTGGAGAGTCGTGTTCATCTAACACTCAGAACACAAGCTGACATACATTTGAACCAAAACCCGCACGCTAACCCATCACTCGAGCACCACCTCAAGTGTCCAATGTCACAATCGCACTTGGTTTGGCTTGGCATGGGCATGCAGCCATGGGCAACACGCTCTAAACGAGCATGACCGTAACACCCAGCAACGCCCTTCCACGTGCATCGACCATGCCAATAGTTCCTCAATCGTGACTTATACTTGGCTCACTCTAATACGCATCTTTCTATAATAATCCAAAATATTGGAATTAAAAAAAACATAGATCTATCTTACATTGCTTAAAGTTAAGAAGTGGTGGTTTAGCCTCCACTATAAGAGCGAGATCCCTCATTTTATTTTAACATCCCACTTGAACGGCTCGAGTCGGTCGAAAGATATATTCTCACTTTATTTTAACATCTCACTTGAACGGTTCGAATCAGTCGAAAGATACATTCTTAAATTGTTGTTGCGTACTTTGTATGCAAAAACAAAGATGAACAATGGGAAGGAATCTTTTTCTATATATGGTGAAGTAAAGGGAAGAGAGAGATTAACGCATTTTTTTGGTATTACATACAAACTTATATATAAGTAAGTTTGGTTGTCAAAAATGTTTGTTTTTTGGGGTTTCTTAAAGTCAAAATCCCTTTATTCAAGAAAATAAGTGAGTTCCATGATGAGTCATATTCTATCAAATTTCAACACTCCAACAGCTTAAAAGTTAAAGATATAAAAAATTGAAAAATCTCGTATTTCAAGATAATGATATTCATAACGAATATATATGTGTTGAGTTAGGTTGGTGACCCGAACAAATCGAATAGAGTTCCTAGCACAACCTAACCCTCAATTTTCAGGTTGGGTTGAATTGTCGGGTGGTTCTTAAAAAAAAAAAAAAAAATCCTACTTATCTAAAATACATATTATATTAATAAATAAATGTTCATCAAACTCAATTATCAAATATTCATCAATCACAATGCATCTCGATCGGATTAGTTAGATCGACTCGAAAAAAAAAATATCAATTTACGAACCGCTAGAATTTTATTGAAATAAATAGCGGGGTAAATTGTTAGTAAAATATTTTTCATTTGTGTTTTTTTATGGTAAGTAATTAAGAGAAAATAGGTAGATGGTAAATATAATGAGTACAAAATCATTGTGCAGTTATTTTCGCTAAATGATCAATTTGCCTTTTATCTATTAATTAATTAATTTTCCATTTTAAATTACTAATATTTATTAATATTATATTTTTAATCCTCATAAAGGGAAAAAAAAAACGGATTTCAAGTAAGAACTTCACGGGCCTGCGGTGCGTGTCATCATGTACTCCTCTATGGGCCTAAGCCCAGTTACTATAATGACTAACAATGGGCCTGCGGTGCGTGTCATCATGACTCCTCTATGGGCCTAAGCCCAGTTACTATAATGACTAACAATGGGCCTGTGGTGCGTATTATCATGTACTCCTCTGTGGGCCTAAGCCCAGTTACTATAATGACTAACAATGGGCCTGCGGTGCGTGTCATCATGTACTCCTCTATGGGCCTAAGCCCAGTTACTATAATGACTAACAATGGGCCTGCGGTGCGTGTCATCATGTACTCCTCTATGGGCCTCAGCCCAGTTACTATAATGACAAACAATGGGCCTCGGTCCAATCACAATCGACTTGAAGGATTGTGGATACGAATAAAACGTCTTTATTATTTTAAAAGTTTCTAATCGACACATTTAAATATTAATTCAAAGTAAATGACTAAATAGCCCCTGACAAAATTGGACTAGAGAAAAAAAGTCAAAAAGAAGTAGAGGAAGAAGAAGAGTGAAAGAAAATGTAGCAGATCGAATAATCAAATCTCTCGAATCTCGCAGATGTCGATGAGAAATCCCCAGAAGATATTGCACAGAACAGAGCTTACTTCAAAACATGCAAGGGATGCATTCGATGCTTAAAGTACCTTCTCTACTTCTCCATTTTAATCCATTTATCTGTCTCGCTTCTTTTCTTTTATTCACAAAATCCTCTCATTCAGCCGCTTCAACACTGATTCACTGCCCCTTTCTTTGTATGATTCAATGTTGAAACCTAGGAACAGTGATTAAATGGATCGTTTGTTTGTTTCCCAGGTTTTTAACTCTTATATCATTATATTTTCATTTAGGTTGTTAAGGATTGGTATCTTCAATCTTGGGTCTGCAGACTGAGAGACCACTAATTAGTGCCTGCCATGTGTTTGATGATTTGCCTGTGTGACAGTTTGAGCCTAAGCCTTGCTTCCCTAGCTTCCCATTCCTTTAAAGTCTATTATCAATTATCAATGGTACATATTATCTCTTTTGCCCAGTTATTGAATCGTCCTCAAACTCAACTCACCATTTTAAAACGCATGAAAGATTTTTTTATAGTAGTATCCCCCAATCTAGTGGTAATGAACTCTAGAGGCATTTAGGCCCAACTCCTGACTTGGAGTGGGCAGGCCAGCATTTGATTCTGCAGGACCTAAATCAATGATTCTCCTGTTTGAGTCACAATTTTTAGTGATCACATTTTAAAAGCTTGAGGAAAAGTACGAAAGAGAGAGTTTAAAGGACAATATCTACTAGTGGTGGACTTATGGACTTAGACGGTTACAATTCTACCACACTTCTTCCAATAGAGTCAAAGAAACTATTAAACTTTCATTTGGGGTGTTAAGAATTGCTGTCATGAATGGTGGGTAAGAAGAAAGAATGTGCCATGTAAGTTTGATATGAAGGGAGAATGTGGCCGCGACCGAGGGGAAACAGACAAATTTGAATGTGATAGTTTTTGTGTGGATAAAATCTAACTTCATTTATTGCTTGCGATTGGGACTGTAAAGCAAAATTAATTGGGACACCCTCCACACACCAACGGCTCTTGACTGCCATCTATTACGTTCTTGTTCTCAAGCTACTGATTTGATTTTTAAAAGGGGTTGACCCCATTTGAAGTAGCTTATTTAAGTTATTAACTAACTCAATGAAGTTTTCTGTAGGGCTGAATGTGTTGAGAACCTCAGACATTGATACCATTTTCCTTGTTTTGAATATACAGCCCTCTGTCACTCGATCTTTTCTTCTTTAAATAGGAATAAAACTATCAGAGTGAAATAAAGGCCCTGCAGTCTTGGTAGCTGCTAGTTTTTCTTTTTTTCTTGTGAATATTTACATTGCTTCTGCTGATATGTCAGAGCCTAGAAAGAAAGGGTGGGGGTGGCTGTTGTGGCAGTGATCACTGTATTGGTTCATTTACTAGACTGATTTGGCAGTGAGTGAAAGAGAGAGCCTGGATTGTATTGGAAGGCACAAAACCCAAGAAAAAGAAGCAAAGGCCATTTCAAACACCTCATTCCTTGTCTTCTTGCTTCTGGCTAGTTACTTTGTAGATATTGTCTTCCGTTGTCTTTGATAAGTTTGTAGTAATAGTTCAAGCTCACCGTTAGTAAATATTGTTTTTTTTAAAGTTTTCCTTTTGGACTTTCCTTCAAAAAATTTAAAATGCGTTTGTTAGGAATAATTTTTCATCCATTTCTAAAGAATGTTTTCATTCTATTCTCAACCGATGTAGGATCTCTCAGTTGTCTTTATAAAGAATGTTTAAGTTCTTCTCCCAACCGATATGAAATCTCTTAGTTGTCTTTGATAAGTTTGTTATAAGGGTCCAAACTTACCGTTAGTAGATATGGTTCTAACTCGACTTTGCTTCCCTTCCTAACTCTTTGATAAGGATACATTACTTGTTATAAACGCCAAATCTCTCTGCCAGTCCTAAGATAGACGCCAAGAGGGAGAGAGAGCGAGAGAGAGAGAGAGAAAGGATCTGAGTTTGGGCATGGGGAAATGTGAAGCCGCTTGAAAGGCCTAATTTTCTTCTACCTTCTTCTTATAACCCAAATCATTTCCCATTTTTACCCATTTATCATCTCTCAATCCCACCATAATCATCATTATTATCATTTAAGCTTTAGAAGAAGACATGAAAGGAACATACTGTTGTTGTTGTTGTTTTATATTGACTCTGCAATTAGCTTGTTGGGTTTCTGCAGCAACCACAACTTTTGCTCTCCTTCCTCATAAACAACAAGGTTTTCCTTTCCTCTTTTTCGTTTCTCATTCCCGTTATTACATCTACTTAGCCATATCTGAGATCCCACCTCCAATAGGGAGTAGAACCAAACACCGATGTGTAGCAGACGTGTTTTAAAAACTTTAAGAGAAGTCCAATATATACTTTGCGGTGGGCTTGGACAGTTACATCTTCTTTCTTTCCCAACCTTTTTAACTCAAATTTCTTGCTTGTTGCTGCTCCCAGGTTTCAATTTTGATTCTGTGAAGGCTGTTGAAGAAGGTGTAGTAAAAGAGGGAGAAGTTTATAGAGGGATGAGGAAAATAGGGTCGAGTCCGCCGAGCTGTGAGCACAAATGCTATGGGTGCTCTCCATGTGAAGCCATTCAAGTGCCTACCAACAACAGGCGCAGCCATGTGGGGATCCAATACACTAACTATGAGCCTGAGGGATGGAAATGCAAGTGTGGCCCTTCCTTTTACAGCCCTTGATTTGATTCTAAACCTGAGAGAGATAATTAAAAGTATTAGAATAACCTCCTCTTAATCGAGTCTCAACTCTTTCTTGAAATCTTCGAACAAATTACACACTTTGTTCGACATTTGAGAGTTTAGGGCATGATTTTGATATCATGTTAGGAACACAAATTTCCACAATAATATAATATTGTTCAGTATAAGCTCTCATGACTTTGATTTAAACGGCATTTATTTAGATTAAGATAATATAAATATTCCTTAATTCAAAATAAGTATTTTGATTTAAATAACTCGTTTTCAAAAATATTTTAAAATATTTTCTACTTTTTATAAATATCCTTGCACATTTTAAAAACTTTAAATATTGATAATAAAAAGACAAAAAGATAATAATAATAATTTTTTAGAACTTAATTTTGCTTTTTAAATTTTGTAAAACCCAATTGTGCTTTTAATAACTTATAATTTACAAAAACAAAAACAAAAACCAAAAAATGTCAACGTTTGTTTTTATTGTTTGAATTTGTTTAAGAATTAAAATAAAAACTACAATAAGAACAATTTTTACTAACAAAAAAATAGTTTGTATCTGTTGTTGTGCGAAAATTTTTCGAAGATCACCTAACATAAAATTGTTTCAAACAAAACACACTTAATTTTAGAATTCCTATAATTGAGTCGCCAAACAAACTGTGCACCTTCTTGGTAAATGTAGTGCGTTTCAATTATCTTAAATCTTTCTAAGTCATAATTCAAATGTAGTTTCAATTTATTAATGTACCTCTCATTTACAGTGTCACATTTATACTCAACTTAACCGTTATACTCACATTAATGATATTTTATTTAGTTTCATTCAATTTTGAAAGCCGTATTAGAAATATCATTTTATGTATTAATCATTAAATTATACTCAATTTGACATAAAAATATTGATTAATACTTTATATCGATGTCACGGACCAACATCATGTCAGGAATACCGACCAATGTTTTTATTAAAAAAAAAATAAAAAAGTTAGGGTTGAGAATTTAACAGTGAGAAATATACACGTGGCAAGAAGATGAGAAATTGAGATGAAGAGAATATTTCTTCATTCTCCAACCAAAATAAAAGTTGTGAAAAAAACAATTCTCTATTATTGTTCTTTATCTATAATTCTATATTTGAAAAAGACTTAATAACATTCAATACCTTAATCCACCCTTCTTAGAGGCTCAGTGTCATATGCACTGTGACACACTAGAACCTTTGCTTTTTACTACTTTATTACTTTATTTTACCACTTTCATATTCTATTATTTCTTTAAGAGTATGACGTTTCGACGATGTCATGGCTATGCCTGGTAGGCATGAAATGCGTCAAAATGTATTATAGGAATGCGACTAGTTGCTAGATTATCGTTGCCCGAAGGAATAATTATATATTGTTTTAAGTAGATGCTATTAACTTTTTGCTTACATGCGGTATAACATCAATCTCTCTCTCTCGCTTTTAAAACTCTTTTTCCAAAACCTCTCTCCCTTACTTTTTAATCTTCTCTTCGAAATCGAGAATGGAGGTTTGTATTCATGCTGCCCCACCATAGGAAACGTGACTTGAAGTAATAATTAATTTAATAATATAGTAAATAGTTAAATTTGATGAAACTCTCTCATTCAAAAGTGAAAATAGTTTATTTCCAATATTAAAATATTTATATTTTCCAATCATTTACTATTCCATTATTTGAAAAAACGTTTATTCTTCCACAAAGAATAAATATCATTCTCACTAAAAGGCAGATTGGAGGATAATTAAATTATTTTAATTATTATTAAAAAATTATATAAAATCATTTTTCAAACTTTAAATTCATTTATATTTTGTTTTTATGAATGTTTTTAAAAATTAGAAATAATCTCCAAAATTTAGAAACTAAACTAAACACTAATTTAAAAAAAATGGGTAAATGTTAGAGGTTGAAAAAAAAAGGAATTAATTTTAAATTAGTGAAAAGAAATTACTAAAAATAATATTATGTAATTATGGAATATAAATTTAATTAGATCCTTGTTTGTCAAATCGTTACGTGACAGTGCAGAGAATTTAGCGTTTGGATTAAGCGCTTTAGGGGCTCCGTTTTGCGTTCAACGACGTCGTTCTATAGCGAAGAATCCGAAACCAAAAATAAATAAATAAATAATGGAAAAAGAAAAGAAAAAGGTCTTTTAATAAAGGATTGTAACTGTAAAACAATTTGCTATTTCCGCTTCGATTGGATCAAAGCTAGAGAGAGAACGAGAAAGCGAAACAATGGAGTTTTCTGTGTGTAATTCGGTGTTCTTCGTGTTCTTCTTCTATTATTATCAACACCCTTCAATGTTGTAGGATGAAAAACGATTCGGTTTCTCAATTCCTGCATCTGTTTCATCTCTCGTTCTGACATTTCATTCGGCGACCGATTTTTTTCTTCTTCATGATCATCTGTCTGGCCTCCTAGTTGTCAATCCAAGGCCGTGACGGTGTGTCTGTCCTTTTCATCGTGATTTTGCGGCTTGGAGTTTTTTCTTCTGATTAATCCTAGGGGGTTCTATTTCTTGTTTGTCGATTCTGCGAGCTTTGCATAATGGAGCCTCGAGTTGGAAACAAATTTAAACTCGGTCGGAAGATTGGGAGCGGATCGTTCGGAGAGATCTATCTTGGTTTGCTTTTTATTGGAGTTGTTCTGCTTTTTATGCGTTATCGTTTGTCGCCTTTTTAATTTGATTTTGTTATTGTTTGTTTTCCTCAATTTCAGGTACTAATATTCAGACGAATGAAGAAGTTGCAATTAAGCTTGTGAGTGAATTTTGTGGAATTAGTCTGTTTCTGCGGCTGTCATTGAAAATTTATTGAGATGCTTGACAATCTGCCCTCTATATTTTTTGACCTCATCATTCTGTCCTGTCATTAATTTCTTCTTCTTCCTTTTTTCCCCCTTTGAAATAGTCGTGTATGTATGTTTGACTTGATTAGTTTACATGTTAAAAACATTTGATTTTGTGTTCCTAAAATTTGATCAGGACATAAATTAATACCTTAGTTTCAATCGATACCGTAAGTAACAGTGGCTCGAAAGTAGGGCTTCCTGAAGGGGGTTGTTAAGAGTTTGATTTGTCTAAAGCTCAAAAATCTTGACATGGTTTTGGTGCAGTCGGAAGACGTCTGAAAACTTCAAGCAAATTCGTTTGGTTAGGCATCTGTGTAGAATGGGTCTACCCGTTGAGTTGGTTTCTGTTAGAATCTTCATAATGACTTAATGAGGTGGTGTTAATCATCAATAATCAGTGTTCTCGGTTCTCATGCAAAAGGTTGATGATAACACAACTACACAAGTACTTGGTATGGCCCTATGAGTTCAACATCTATAGTTCCCCCAAGCTTATTGATTATATGAAGTTACAAAAGGGCCTTGCCATAGGAATTACAAAGAACTCCAATTGGCCATGTGGAAGATTAGTCATATGAACGAAAAAGGCTAGAATTTTGACACCAAGTTAGAGCTAAATATGTCGTCCCAAGCTTACTCACAGTAATATCAATTGTAAAATTTGTAAATGTAGGAATATGATGGATTTATGGATTGAAAAATATGGTAAAAAAACTTAAGAATTGCACCTGTCATGGATCAGATACTCGTTTGTTTTATTATTTTTCAGCATTTAAGTTTAGTGCAGAATAACTTTTCTATGATAAGATGGGCTTAAGTTATTGCTATGTGACTTCGTTAGCCGTTGGCTGGATTTAAGCTTGAAATTAGTTGCAACTTTTTCTTTTTGTTGGATGGACTTCATGATTTTATCAACGCAGTTGATTGTTGTTTCTTATTGAATGGTCTTTTACAATAACAAACAATATTTGCATGTCCTGAGATAGTTCCTCTTTCCAGGAAAATGTGAAGACAAAACATCCACAACTGCTCTATGAATCAAAGCTATATAAAATACTACAAGGAGGAAGTAATAAACGTTACTCTCAACATTGTCTTATTTACAAGTTGCACACCTTATTATTCATGCTTGCAAACTCTTCCCAATTTGGACAGCTGGAATTCCAAATGTGAGGTGGTTCGGTGTTGAGGGAGACTATAATGTTCTTGTGATTGATTTGTTGGGTCCTAGCCTTGAAGATCTATTTAACTTCTGCAGCAGAAAATTGTCTCTCAAGACGGTTCTTATGCTTGCAGATCAGATGGTAACCATTTAATTGATTGAGTTCACCCATCTCTATGTCTACTTCATGTTCTTTTTTATGAATGCTCTTTGATATCTTTGCCGTATTTTAGATCAATCGGGTGGAGTTCGTCCATTCCAAGTCCTTTCTACATCGGGATATCAAACCAGATAATTTTCTTATGGGCTTAGGCAGACGTGCAAATCAGGTTTCAATTTTTTAATTTGTTGAAGATTTCGCACTCATGTTCTATTTTATTCTTTTCATTCAATGTGCTGTATCCATGTCGCCATAGGTCTACGCCATTGACTTTGGTTTGGCTAAAAAGTATAGAGACACATCAACTCATCAGCACATTCCTTACAGGTTAGTTGTTTATAATTAAGGATTGTAATCGTTTAACTCATGTTGGTGCTGTTTCATAGTGGATATATTTGAACTGTGTTTTATGAAGATCTCAGATAAAGTATTCATTGTTGCTGGTTTTGGGTAGTGTTTTCTTGTGGTATGAATTTTGTTGACAGGATATGATTATTATAATATATGGTTTTGATGTTAAAATCTAATACGCCTACTTCTTTCTTGATTAACTAACGCTTCCTTCTCAGTGAATTAATTGTTATTTTTTGTACAACTTATACTGGGTCTGTATTAACGCTTAAGATGCTTTGACACCATGCCTGACTTTTGCTTCACTTCGGACATTCATTTAAGAAATTTCTTAAAAGTTGTTTTCTAAAGTTTATTAGAATATTGCTTTTCTATTATCCTAGGATAAAGTGTAAGATTGCCCATTTATTTGTTTGTTCAAAGTTATTGAGGATTTACTTCCACGATAAGGGGTAGGAAGTCAAAGTTGCAGTCTTTTTTG